GCCCCGCCCACTGAGTCTCCGCCCCTCGGTCCTGCCCAGCGCTAGCCACTTTGGCCTTTTCCGTGGTGGGGGGATCCCAGCAAGGGAGTCCCGGGCTGCTGAGGTGTCCGAGTCCCCTCACCCCATCGCAGCATCGGGAGTCCAGTCCCGTAGCATCAAAACGAGAACCTCGGAATCAGCTCTCTCACCACGAGAGGGGAACACCAGAGTTCAGGCACTATCTCCATACCCCATTGGGAGGAACCATCACCCCATCTCCCCCAAGAGAACTTAGCATCCCAGCAGCCCCTCGGGACACCCGAGTCCTCACGTCTGCCCTCATATACCCAGACACAAATCCTTTCACCTCTGCATCACTTACGGAGTCACTGATAAACTCAAACACACACGATTTGGGGTCTCAGTGTCCCATCTGTGAGATGGGCGGGCTGCTCTGTGAGGTCTGTGCCCTTCTGCAGCTCTGATCATACAGTTGGGAAGAAATAGGGCAGCTTCTGGGCCCAGATGCGCATCAGGCTGGGCCCCAGGTCGAAGGGGCTGGGGTCCTCCAGCTGGAAACTGAGGGACATTTTACAGGGGACTCCTGAGAAAAGGTTTGGGGAAATCCAAGAGGGCTGGTGTAGTACCCAGGGCAGGCAAAGGAGTGAGCAGTTACCACCTGGGGCGCATATCCAACACCTCCTGCCCTAGCCTGGCTTCTCAACCTCTCAGCTGCATTCAGCTCTCCTGGGCCTTCCTCTGCTTTGGGAGTATTTTCCATCAAAGCACGGAGAGCCTACTACTCCCAAAGCAGCCTGGGTGGAAGTGAGGGTGAAGGAAAGTATGTGTCCTTCAGAGGTGATGAGCTCCCTGTCACCAGGGGAAATCAAGGAGAGGGACAAGGATTTTGGTAGACACTGAGAGCATGGGGGTATGTGGGGTGCATGAGTTGTGTGTTTGGGGATTCCAATGACTTCTCCCTAAACAACCTCATTCTTCCCTGTTAAGAGAGCTTCATTTTAAGAAGATGACTCAATGGGTTCAAGTTCTACTTCTGGCTCCACTTTGTGAGCTTGGGCAGCTTCCTTCATCTCTCTGTCTCATTATCCTCATCCGTAAAATGGGGATAATCTGACAGTACTCCCAAAATAAATGAGCCACTGTGCCCCACAACCATATGCATCTCAAAAATAGAATGTTAGTGAGAGAAATAAGTATTAAGAGAATGAATACAGAAAGAATTCATTTTTCTAAAGTCCAAACTCAGGCTCTAACTCCAGCGACAAGAATCCTAAGAGGTTGAAGAGGAGACAGACAGGAGAAATACACAGGGGAAAAGAGGAGGAGGCCACTGAAGACAAGGCAGAGATTGGAGGGATGCCAAGGGACGTCTGGAGCCACCAAAGGCTGGAAGAGACGAGGAACAGTTCTCCTCTAGAGCCTTTGGAGAAGCACAGCCCTGCTGACACCTTGATCTGGGGCTTCTGGCCTCCAGATGGTGAGAGAATACATTTCTGTTGTTGGAAGCCAGCCAGCCAGTCATTTGTTACATACAGCAGCCAAAGGAAGAGCCATGGGGTTTGGATTCAAATCCTAACCCCCACTTACTAGCTTGTGATGTTGGACAAATCACTTGGCCCATTTGTGCCTTGGTTTCCTCAGATGAAAAAAGAGGATAATGATAATACCTACTTTGTAGAGTTTGTGTGAAAATTGAGTTGATACATGAAAAATTATTAAAATAGGGCCTGATACGTTGTTGGTGTCCAAAAATTCTTAGTTCTTTTTTTTTTAATTCAAGTATAGTCAGTTTACAACGTTGTGTCAGTTTCTGGTGTACATCATAATGTTTCAGTCATACATATATATTCCTTTTCAGATTCTTTTTCATTATAGGTTACTGTAAGATACTGAATATAGTTCCCCGTGCTGTGCAGTATAAACTTTTTATTTTTAAACATTTTTGGGGGGGGAGGTAATTATTTAGGTTCATTTATTTTTGGAGGAGGTCCTGGGGATTGAACCCAGGACCTCCTCCATGGCGACTGAACCTACGATCTCCTCCATGATAAGCATACATCTCTACCACTTGAGCTATACCCTCCCCCACCTTAAACTTGTTTATCTATTTTATATATAGTAGTATCTGTAAATTTCCAACTCCTAATTTATCCCTTCCCATCCCCTTTCTCCCCTGATAACCGTGTTTGTTTTCTATGTCCGTGAGTCTGTTTCTGTTTTGTAAATAAGTTCATTTGTGTCTTTTTTTCAAATGTTCTTAGCTTTGATGAATATGATTTGTCTTACTGATATTTATGTCGACTGAGTGCTCCTTAACCTCCACCCAGGTGGCAGAGTTCCCTGTATGCAGTGTCTCTTGAATTCCCCACCTTCTTCTCCCTCGTCCTGCAAATTCGACCCAGTTTCTGCCATGCTCAAACCACACCCATGGCTCCCCAGTGCCCTCAGGCCAAACTTTGAGCTTATTATCTTGCCCTATGAAGCCCTGTGTGGCCTGGCCCCCTGGATTGAATGGATGGATGGATAGTTAGATGAAAGGCCAGGAGTAGTAGCTCATCCCCCTGCTTCTCAGCCTGCTCCTGGGACACTCCCAACCGCATTCTCAGATCCCGCCTCCCCTCCTGTCCCCACTGCTTTTTGCTTTCCTAACCCCCTCCCTTAAAACGCTTCCCAAGCCCCCAGGCCGGAACATGGCTGGACAGGGCGGCGCTCTGCTGACCCCTGGTGGCCTCGTGGAGTAACGCCGCATTCTCCACTTTCCGCAGTCGACCGGGCGCTCCTGAGCGCCTAGTAACTGCTAGGTGCTGGCTGCAGCTTGGGAACAGATGGTAATTAGATACTTTTGTGTCAACCCTGGAGTCATCCCACCTCCTCTTTCTCACAGCTACGTGCAATCTTGAGCAAATTCTGTCGCCCTGATCTTTAAAATATCTGGACTCCCACCTCCTGTCTCCACTTTCACTGTCCCTGCTCTGGTCTAATCACTTCCCTCCGGATTCCAGGCTGCCTTACTGAGTTCTCTTTTTGCCTCAGGCTTCACAGCACTGTTACTGAATCTGTTTTTTATCTAAAATTTTGATCATCATGGACTTTTTTTGGCTTTGATGTTTTAAAAAATGCGTTGAAATATTTTTTATCTTGATCACTATTTGTGTCCCTTTAAGTTTTGTACCCCAGGCAAGTGTCTCACCCTGGTACCAGCCCGCTGTAATGATGTCACGTCCCCAGAGGGGTCTTCCCGACCACCCTAAATAACATCCCTACTCCGCCAAATCCACATCCTCCCTCCTAACACCTTATGCGCGCTCAATATCACAGCATACATATACATTCATATCTTTGCCTGTTTTCTGTGTCTGTTGCACTAGAGGTCAGTTCCCGGCTGGGTCCCAGGGGGCCTGGCACCGAGTAAATGCTCAGGAAATATGTGTTAAATGGGCAAATACAATCTGAATGAGTAACAAACAGAGGAAAATGCTGTTGAAGAGAAGATTTTTTTTTCTTTGAAAGCAAAGGAATTGGTTTACGGGGAGGGAGTGACTTTCCCAAGGAAGAGTCCACAGAGCTGAAAGCTAAAGGTTAAGGAGGGAGTTAATTAGCAAGGAGGGGTGGATGGAGGGAAGGACAATGTTCCATGAGGGACCAGCATGTGCAAAACGCCTGAGGTGCGCAGACCCTCAGGGAATCAGAAAGCTGGATCACGGGCTACAAATGTAGTAAGACTCCCAAGGAGGTCCGCAGAGGGCCTCACAGGACTTGCTGAAGTTTGTCTCTGCGGGTGCTGGGAAGCCCCAGAAAGTGTTAAGCGGGGGTGGCATGGCCAGATCTGTTTTGAAAAGCTCTCTCTGGCTGCTACAAGGAGATGGAAGGGGGTGTGGCTGGAGGCAGGGAAGCCAGAGAGGAGGCTGTGAGATTCAATCAAGAGGGTGGCAGGAAATGAGGAAAATGGTGGAAGGTAAAATGGATCTTGGAGGTGGGCCCGGTTGATGAGAATGGGAGAGTAACACCCGGAGGAGGCCTCCAGGGATTCTGGCTTGTGGGGAACAGTTTTGGAGAAAGGGGTCAGGATTTGGTTGTAGATGTGTCACACTGGAGTCACCAAGTCGAGTGTCACAGGCAGGTGGACAGGAATGTTG